AGAATAAGGTCACTGTGCTCCTTCAGCAGAAAGCACCTAGTACTAGCGAGCACCAATGTTAGAGTGTACTTTGAAGCTTACTTTAAAAAAAAAGCCCAAAAGACCACACAGTGGTTCTTGCTAATTCAACATCATTTACAAACTCTAAGTTCCTTACATAATGTTCATTGCCAACCCCAGCACAACTGTCAAGATTTTTCTCTAGTCTAATGTGTAAGAAGCCAGGGACTTATTACTCTTATTCATTACTCATATTGCAGGAAGAATCAGGCTGATCAAGCCTCAGTTTATTTCTGCAAGTAAATAGAGTTGACAGCGATTAACCTTCAGATGGTTGACAATCTTTAAAACTTTAACAGCATCTTAAGCTCTGGGTAAGTAAACAAGCCAAATCTGATACAAAGACATAACCACCACCCATTTTTAGATAGATACGCAGAAGTATCTTCAGAATGCGGACACTCAGCTGGTCCATGTGGGAGATAGTCTGGACTTCATGTTATTTATCATATATATTTTCTTAAATTTTTTTTTTTGCTAAGCATCCCATGTCTCTGGAAGTTATTTATGGTACATTTCAAAGCTTCTCCAGTACTCCCGAAAAGGGCAGGATAAGAAACATTACATCCTTTATCCACAGTGCTAGACATAATCTAATTACAGACTTTACATCAGAAAGGAATCCTATCTGAACAAATCAAGGACTGTAGGAATGATAGCCTAACATCCCTACTCACATTCTTGCGTGCAAGTTAGCCGGTGCCTTTAGAAACTGCCCAGAAAGATTAATGATTTGATAAGGTACACAGGACTGACAGGCTTCTATCCTCCCATACTCTTGCATTTAGCAAAGGCAATATAAGAAAGAATTTATGCTTTTTTTTGGGGGGGGTGGTGGGGTGTTGGGTGGTGTCAGAAGTGACACACATTCCTAATAGTATGGTAAAGCAATGAGCAGAAAAAATTAGATTGGCTGGTTCTTACTCACTGTCAACTACTGGATAGGAAGTAGGTCACCACAGCTGGGTGCAACCATGAGGAGCTGGAGTCTAGAGTGGTCATTAGCAGGATTAAACAATAAGAACAAGCCTTTCCCTCAGTGGTGAGCTGCTGCCAGAGTATTGCTTAATTTGGGGAATGCCTAAAAATAGCCACACTGCTACCGCTTTCTTAAGACATGCTAACTCCCATCAATGGAAGATAGTTTGTTCAGTGCAGCACCAGCGTTTTGGGGGAAGAAAGAGTAGAGAAAACAGGAGGATGTTCTAGTTGGCGGTGTTGGGAAAGGGCAGCAATACCGAAATGGAAGTGAAGCTTCTGACTGTTGCTAAGCTATGGCATTTCTGTGGCCAAACCGCAAAGCTTTAGTTCTGGCCAGGACTGCACTTCAGTACCATTCACTCAGAAAGAGTCACGGCTTTTATAGCTTAGTTTAAGCTGCTGTCAGCAACTTCCCAGCTTGGACAAGATTGCAACTGGAATTGCAAGAATCCTGTAAGGATGACGGAATGTGCATAGTGGCCAACATACATACAGAAATTATACAGGCCATTAATCAAGCCATTGATTTCTAAGAGGAATAGCAAAATGGAGCAGAAAAGACTCAATGGATCTTATATCCAAAACCTATAGACTATAATTAAATTTCATAAACACTCTGTGCCAACAGCTGCACTATACTGTCAGCACGTAGCGCAGAAGGCAGAAGTTAGAACAAGTAAAGCACAAGTAAAGATCAGCTAGAGACCATCCAAATTGTACATGGAAAGGATGCTGCCCCCGGTGACAAGAACGTCATCCGCCAAAGGATGCAACAGAAGAGCATTCAAAAATGAAAGATTAGAGAATTTGGAGCAGCAGCTGACCTAACTATCAAAACTAAAGACAAATTCTGGATGGGTCCCTATGCACATAACAAGGCAGGCCACTGAACAGGGAGAACAAATAAATCGGTATGTGTGAAATGCTGACAAATGGCACACAGAATGCACCCTCCTGGTAGAAACTAAAGCTACACTATTAAAAAAAAAAAAAAAAGCAGTACATTTATTATAAACATTCAGAGAGGGGGAAGTTAGGTTATCCTTTCCCTTAAAAATTTTTTTTAATTTCATGCAGTCATTTGATGCTGTCAGTGTGGCAAGTTTTTCTTTCCTTTCAGTCTATATAGCTTGACGGAACTGTGGGGACACAGAAACTCAAACGTCAACTTTCCAGTACTTCAGGGCTGTTGTTTAGTGAACAAAATTGCAAAAATAGAATAAAATACCAGGAAAAGTATTAAACATGGATTTTTCTGGGTTTTCTAGCTCATACTGAATTTTTGATCAGATGCTAATACTTCTCTTACCATCACAATCATATATATTTACAACTCAATAAGCATATGTATGATTCAGTGTTACATTTAAGATTATAAAAGCAGATCTGTCTAGAAATCAAATCTGAGGTGCTCTTCTCTGGTCTCACAACACAGAGCAAGATTACACTGGATAATCACAGCTTTCAAAATGGGAAAAAGCTAAATTTTCCAGCATCGTGATTTCACAGTAGAAAACAGACAATCATGCATGCTTCAAATGACATCTAAATTTATCTTCTTTCTCCACTGCAAACAATATTTCCACTTTGCAACCATGAATTTTGCATTCTTAACACCTATAATTCAAACAGAAGAGCAAAGAAAAGATGAGAAGGCTGAATTTATTTTTACTCCAAGAACCTTTAGCTTTAAGCCAAGATCTTAACCAAGGAAATGAAAAGTATTTTTAACTTTGGTAGCAGCATTCAGACCCTTGTGAGGGTAACTGAAAGACCACAACCATGACTATCGGGATTCCGTGCAGAATATCTGGAGCAGCGTTGGGTTAGTGATGCTATGTGCTGAGTGACCTCAAGTTTCAAGGAGGAAAGTTTTGCATAAGCAAAAAGTTCAAGTAATTCCTAGTTGTGGAACAAGCTAAATATGGTTGAGCAGAGAACAATATAGAAAGAAGGAATCCCTAGAAGGACAAAAGAGATAGGCTGTTCAAAAATTTCTTGATTTAGTACTTCCTCTGGAGCTACTGAGGTATACTGCTAAGAAAATGAATTACAGCTAGCAGAGCACTCAGCATCTCATACGTGTCATCAAATCACCCAGTGTGAATTCCCAATTCAGCTGTACATTAAGACTTGATTAAATGCTGAGAAAGCTTCCATGAACCACACCATGTAGAAGGCATGTGAAGCTTGCCTCTCAACAAAGCCAGTTCTTCACTTTTGCTCTAACTTGCAATGATAATGATGATAAATATGCTTAATTCTGCAATGCATTTTTCATCTGTAGGTATTGATGCATCTGACACAGTCTACAGAACATTATAAAAACTGATGGGTGATGATCACAGAAAAATTGAAAATTGGCACAAAAGCTACTTACTGCATATAGAGCCATGCATGATGGACACCATGTTACATTGAATCAAACTAACAGGACAAATCTCGTTCTCATTAGTTTAGAGAATTTTGCTGTTCCTTCAATAAGCCTGGGATTTTTGTCAGCAGAGCTCTGTGCAACCCTGCTGGTTGCACAATGCATGTTACATGAAGATACTAACCTGTTACCAAAGACTATACTGGAAAAGTCCACGATGAAATCTTCTGGTATCCTTAAAGAGAAGAGCAATACAAAATAGTTAAGTGTTTTGTAACCACAAATATACAGCCTTAGCTACAAAAAACCCCAACCAAACAACTATTATAGAACACAAAAAATGTGCCAACATTTTCCAGCTTCCATTGCTTGAAATTGCCATCAGCTCTTACATAAGTGCTTCAGTATTGATTCAGTCTAGGCTCTCAAAAGGACAGCCTATGTTTTTATATCAAGAACCCTAAAAACCATATTACATCTTCCTGTCCTCCCCAGTATGGCAACAGTGAGTTTCAAAGAACCCAGTATTTGCTTGACTTCTCCCAGTAAAGTCAAGGAAAGTTTTACTGATGGCTCTGACAAGTGCAGAAGGCGGGCCAGCAACGCATGCTTTTGAAAATCCCAGACCTACACATTTCATTTCACTTTCCTCTGAAGTGCAATAAAAAGAAGACAGTATGGATTGCTCCCTCAAAAGTAAAAACAGAGGCCCTTGTAGCTAAGATTACTTACAAAAGGAGCATATTGAATATGGGGGGACAAGCACAAATTTGATGGGGACCATGAGAACTGGTTGAATAGACTAACTCACGCTCCATCCACCCTACGCCTCTCCACTACTTTACCATTCCTCCGACACTGTTGTTGCCTTACAAACAAGCTGCTGTTGATTTTCAGTTCAATATATCAGGCAGTGACTTGCACAGACCACAGAGCAAACACTGTATTCAGCTGCCTTTGCCACGCGGAGAGTAACCTACCTCCGACAGAGAGGCAGGTTGGACAAGTGGGAGAAGTAACTACTTCTGCTGCCACGGTTAAATCCAGCACTCAACATGAAGCAGTGCCCAGAGACATTACTCACCAGTGGCTTGAGATACACAGCGGTATAGCAAAGAAAAATCAAAGCAAACAAGGAAGTTATCCGTCCTAAAGGGCTTACAGTGTCTAATGACGGGAGAAAAAACAACTCATCAACTCACACAGTGGGAAGATGAAACAGCAGTTACTAGAGCTTGAATCCATAATGGAAGCAGTGGGTTTAAAACACATTTTTAAATGGTGTTTGGATAAAACCAAATTCTATTAGTGAGGTAGTTATCTGAGGCAAACTGGGAAGTGAGGAGGAGGGACTAGACAGTGCTTTTTTGGCTGCATGTGTCTGTCTGTCTTTCAGAAGAGACAAGACTATTTCTGCAAATATTACTTATACTTCCTGTGCAAGTGTATCACTTAACCCATCCTGATGATAACCGAATATCCTCTGTATACAGTGGCATAGCTGGAGACAAGGCTGTAATATGATTATTATGACACCTATCACAATACTTGCTTGACTGTAAGAGCAAGTGGTACTAAAGCAGAAGCATTAATGCTACCTTTGAGCTTGCATCATTTTTGCTGTGTAGTTAATGATTTTGCTGAAAATTCTGTTCCTGGCTCAAGAAACTTACATGAGGCCAGTTGCACACTAAGCAGATCAAACACAGAACATGGCACAGCTCAGGCCTGAGCTACAGATGGCAATCGGTATTCAAAGGAACATTCCGAGAAAGGGACTCAAAGGGCAAGGAGGAAGGTGTGAGGATGTCTCAATCCCATGTTACTGGCCTGAGCCATAAAGTTTAATTAAACAACCTGAGAGGGGAGGGAAAAAATAGCACCCACAATTTAGAGTGAATTTATTCTAGAGTGAATTTATTCTCACTGGCTCAGCCAGTCAGGCCAAGAAATAGGGGATACAGAATGGCAACCCTGTGAAACCAGCAGTACTGATCTAATTAATCAGAAGTGGGCATGTCTCCCAGACTCTCTCTCCACCAAAACTAGAAGCCAAGACCGGCTGCATCACCAGGAAATTGAGAGTTACAAGAGTTTATATGGGCGGAATTAGTCCAGTCGTCAGCTTCACTGCAGGAAACAAAACAGAATGCAGGAGAGGTGGAAAAAAAGGTAATGTGGCTCAGAGCTCAAACCTTTTAAAAGAAGGCAAAACAAAACAAAACAAAAAAAGGAAAATAAGCCATTTTTCTGCCTTAAAATACAAAATACCTGCCCTAACACTGGGTGCCAATAACACCAAGACACCACTGTTGAACCGATTACATGTGTTCTTCATGCACGTGATACCAGGATGACCCACGGGAGTCAATGCAGAAGGGTAAGTGTCTGAATGTAATTAATAGGTGCCTTAAAAACGAGCAGGTATTTCATCTCCAAACCCAAGCGCATTGGGGAACATAGGAAATTACACTTCCCATAGGAATCAAAGATGCTGAAGGTGCTACCAAACGTACTAAGTATCATCGCTTCAGAGTAGAATAAGCTATACAGTCTTCTAAAAGTTTAGCCACAAGGTGAAGAGAGCTACTCACGGGAAATAAGACTGTCAGAGATGGAAGTTAGGAACAGTCCCAATAATGTGAGAATCATGGGAGCATGGCAGCAACGAGCAGCACATAAAACATACAAGTCTGCAAGCAACACAAACGCAGTTACCTGAACTATTGCTCATATATCTGTCTTGTTAACCAACAAGATAAAAAAGATCATCCAGATTGAAAAGTGTCTTCATAGTTCCATGCATAAACCATAAAGTGAGAAAAAACCCCAAGAACTACAAAAGTGTAACTAGATGATCTCCTGAGGTCCCTTCCAACCCTTACGATTCTGTGATTCTGTGATTCTGTAAGGCATTAAAGTGTGGTTAAATGACAAAGACAGGGGCCTGGGAGTCTCTATTTCCAGATACAGCCAGTGCAGCCAGTGACTCCGGGCGCTCCTCTATACCAACTTTCTCTGCTGCTGAACAGAGGAATATTCACCCACCCCCAGAGAACCTGGCATGGAGCTTTTAGTGCTCTTCATTATTCCTTAATCACACTGAACACATTCTGTGTGTGCCTCAAACACCACCAACTCCCACTGGGTCAAAAGCAATTCATCAGTTTCTTAGTGACCTACTTTAACCTGGGTGTGATCTCCATGACGCGGCAGAGGAAGCAGCTTGCATTTTAGCTCACAAGACAAAAGGCAGGCCGAACTCCAGCACTGAGCTGCAGGCAAAATTGTATCAACTAGCACGGCACCTTTCATCATGGCCCCAATTACACCTTTCACCGATTACACCCCGATTACATGTCTAAATCTGTAGCTTAAATTTGCCTGAAGTTGCTCATAAAGTAACTCATGCTTATGACTCTGAAGAACAGTCTGAGGAGCAAGCCAATTTGCAGGTTAACGGACAAATAAGGATGAAAAAAGAGAGGATTAGAAACACATCTATCTATTTCTCCTAGGCTAGCAATCAGAATGCTAAGAACTATGGGCAATCAGCATTTAAAAAATAATTGAGTCTTGGTGCAGAGGTTTCTCTATAGATGAAAATATCAGCTGCTGTTATTGTCTCGTTGCTACTGAACATGGAAATAAAGGAAAAGCTACAAAGATTATTAGCATCTCATGTCTAGCTTTTAGGATATGAACTTCTACTCAGAGATAGTCTGAACAGACTGATACAGATTTTGACCAAGTCTGTAACAAACACTATGCTTTCTTGGGTAATGGGCAGGAGAGATCGTAGCTGAACAAGGTGGTAGGATTTCATGAGTGTTATATCATTGGCCTTTCAAAGAAGAAAAAAAGTAGGGCAGTTTCTTAGCTTCTGAAATGTTACCACTGTCTTACCAAACATGTTAAAAAATACTGCAGGGCAAGGTGGGGATGGCAGAGAAGGTCACTCACATTTGCATAACCTACATTACGGACTAAATTAGACCAATCTCCCCAGCATGTGAAATTTACTGCTCATGCTCAGTGCTAAATCAAGTCTTACACAACACCTGTTTTTTTTCCTCTGGCTTCACATGACATTTGGCAACAGACCTATTATGTGTTATTTACAGTTAATTTTTATACCAACTTTGTTGTGTAAAAAATTTGATTTGGGGAAGTAGTTACATAAAAGTTATGAAAAACCAAAGAGATTAAAAACCAGGCATAAACAGGCATACCTGAGCTCCTTTAGGTCTTCCTTAAAAACCTAGAAAGACAAGAAAGGTGAAATTTTACAGGCTGTAGTCTGGAAAGATCGTTTCTTACCTGGTGGATCAATATTGATTACTTGCTTGACATCTCTCCTCAAAAGCTTTAGTCTTGAGTGCCAGTAGTTTTGAAATGACTGGTTACATATTGAGAAAAATTTCCGGAAGTGTTTAGTCAAGTTGTGAGAAATTAATTTGAAAGACCTAAATCTCTTGGAAGCCTTTATTTCTGGAAATACCATCCCTGCCTTTTCTTTTATGTAGCTGTCCATAACATTCTTTTATAGCAATTACGTGCCCTTATTCTCAAATGTATTTTGCAGTAACTTGTTTAAACTATGACACCAGAAAGGAAGTGGCAAAAGATAGGCTCCGAATACTAAAAGCATACTTTCACTATGTTTCCTGCAATAAATGAGCTTTCCCAGTATGCCTGGGTAAACATGAAAACAGTATCTTACAGAAGAGAGAGGAAGCCCAGAAGTGGTTCACTCACATAAAAATAAAATGAGAAAAGAAAAAATGTAAGGTAAAGTAACATGAAAAAGGGAAGAAAATAGCCATGAAGAAGGAACAGGGGTTGGGAACATGGCAGCTGTATAGATATTCACACAGAACATCCATAGCATAGGCAGAAATAGCACTTTCTCTCAATTTCCACTATATTGTTCTGGCCATAAGACCTTCCTTCCTCTGTGGCAGAAGAAGAAAGGCAGACAAACAAATATGAGAAAGTGTAAGCGTGGACAAAATGAGCAGTATGTGTGAACACAGGGTTAGGGTAGGAGAGAGCGCTGATGCCAATGAAATAACACTTTGCAATGGTTTCTTCTGGGGTTTTAATTTAAGAGTGAAAACAAACATGCACAGCAGACAAGATGCTGAAGCAGGAAAAGGTAGAGGAATCTTTTTCCCAAAGCTTAAATACTCTTCCAGAAAGCTCACCAGAAGTCTACCCAACAAGTAAAATAATAAGCTCTAGATTTTTAACAGCTTCTTCCAACCACTTTAACTTGGAGCAACATCTTTATGTGCAGCTCCCCACCCTGACAAATAGGGTTTAGATAGCAACTCACATCTGACGCAGCTTTTAACTTATCTGGACTCCAAGTATTCCCAGAACTTACTTCTTGTTTTAAAGTTGATAAGGGGAGTCTCAATGCTTCTCGGAGAAGGGTATACATGCCAGAAATGAGGAAAGCAAGCTGCTCTTCTGAGAGATTAGTGCTTTCTGCAATCAGCTTGACAGATTCCTTGCAGTCTTTTCCTTCCAACGCATTAACAGTGACTGTGAATAAAGAAGCAAAGCAAGATCCCTTTAAAAAGAGGGAGACTTGGAGACCATGAACTTTAACATAAACATGTCTATAATTTTACTGAACTTAATGTACTGACATTTTTCCCAACTGTCATTTCAGGTCTCTGTAAATACTGATCTGATCATCCACTGCCACAGGTCAGTCTCACATTTTACCAAAAGAATGTAAATGGAAAGCTTTTGCATTGTAAAATTGAAGATATTTTCACTGTTGAATTTTGTTCTGGTGGGATAATGTAAAAAAGATAAAAAAATTCATTTCTCACAAGTTCAAATCCAACTTGAGCTTTTATCAACAAACTTGTTCATATCAGAAGTCTGCTTACAGCTTAAGTACGCTTCTGACACCCAGGATAAGAGAAAATTGAGAGAGTAAACAATTCAACACTGTTCTCCAACACTTCACATAATAAATTTATCTTGCAATGTCAGCAGAGACTAAGTATTAAATGAGCAAGGAGACAAAACTAAACCTTCAAGCCTTGTAGTTTGCACAACTGTTGATAATACAGACTTTGAAGGAAATTACTGTTAACCCATGTAGCTATACACCCATAACTACTGTGGGTTTATTTCAATCTTCATCATTCAGTTATTCTTCCTTTTTCTATATGTGCACTGGCTTATATAAATTTCTCTTGTCATGTCAGCCTCTGTCCTGCACTCTGATCAGTCTGGATGGACTGCTGGAGCCACAGGAAGTCCCCACCAGGGATAAAAAAAATGATTACTGACACTATCCCATTGCAGGATCAGGGCATTAGATTAGTCATTTATAACGAGCTATTTAGTGCTGTGGATAAAACACGAAAAGTTAAAAATGGTTTAATGAAACTGCCAGCCCTCCTTTTGGTATTAGGTGGGGAGTTCTAATTCTGAATAAATTCTTTTTGATTTTCACATTTTTAAATGCTCACTGACTTCAGTGTTGAGTCCTGGATCATTCACAGGGCTGACTGAATCTGTCTGGCACTATCTGCAATGGCAGATTTCACACAGAATAGCTAGGATATGCAAGGTGCTAGCACCAAGCTTGCCACGCTGTCTGAAAAAGGCTCTGCTCTCTGACAACAAAACTGACTTTGAGAAGAGTCTATTTACTGGAAAGGCCAAATACAGATGAGGCTTGCCTAGATCATGCGCAGAGCTGGAAACAGGTTACTGTCTGCTTACCTACTTAAATACAACTTTGATCTGTCTCTGCAAAGAACAGGTTGCTCATAGTTTTTAACCACACAAGTTTAATGACAATATTGGTCTTCCTTCTGTTGACCAACCCTAATATCTGGTTAAAAATCCATGTCGTCTTTTATAACCTACTTGCATTACCCTAAAATACAAGATTTTTTACTCAATATAGCTCAGGGAACTCAAAAATATCAGCTGTACCAACATTTCCAGCAGCCAACCTGGGGGAGGAAAAAAAAAAACAAACCCAAAACATCCCATGAAAATCTCACTGCTGGGCCACTTGCTCCTAGTAGAAGACGCCTGCAGTCTCAAACCTACACTTGCAGTTTAGCAGAGCCTGCAATAACAATGGCCAGATAACCCTGAGAGAACGGTCTGCACAGTTTTTACATCATGGACTGAGCAGACATACGAAGCAGCATCTCATTTTTTCTAATAGTTGTTACTTAGCAAAAGAGTAACAGCAACAGCCTCAAAAAAACTAACCTGGTGCCAGTGCCAGAGCAATTTAGATCTACTCTGTTGAAATCCATCATGCCTTCAGACTACCGAACCTTTAAAGGAAAAAACACTGTCCTGCAAGCTGTTAATCACAGACCCGCAAGAGCAGAAGGCGACTGCAGATTTCTGCCAGCTCTGCATAATCTGGAAGCTGTCTCCGTCCGTTCAGGTGGTTTTGAAGGGATGTTTGCCCCCCCTACAGTAGGAAGCATTTATTGCACACCTAAATTTACACCAAAATTAAATCCCGCTAGGGTTTAGGAGATGGTCAGGCTTCCTGACACTGGTGTAACTTTTTGATTTCCATTGCCCCTGCGCTAGACAGCAAATACGGTTCAACATCTGTACTTACTTTTGTCCCCAAAAATGCCTCTGCCTATACATAGCTTTATTGCCTTCAATTACTGTAAGGAAACCCTGGATACATTGCTCCGTTTCTGACTCTGTGCAGCAACTCTTTTAAAGACAAACCAGCTACCAGACACTTTGAATCCTCATTGACTTAAATCAGGAAGAAAAAGCCTGAAAGGAAGTTAGCGGAGAGAACGTGCACATAAGGGTCGCAGCGCTACGCCACGCAGCAGTTGGTCTGCAAGCTCTCAGCTGGCTGCAAACAAGCTGTTCTTTTGCTCTGCTAATAACTTTTCGATTATTCTGTGATTATTTTGCATACAATAATTTACTCCACTGAGTAACCCTGATTTTGGTGGTTAAAGGTGCCTTGCGAAAACCTCACCTGTCTTGCCTCACCACAGGCAGAAGCCTCACAGAAAAAAATCAAACAGGCAGCGCATTTTCAATCTTACAGCCCTGACTTCAGTAAGACACCTGCACTTTGAGGTTCCCTTATTTTCTCCTACACGTTATAAAAATACCTATGGGATCCCTGACTTTCACATGCCCTACACAAATCCGGCAGCAACTCAACCGCTGGCTCTGGGACAGAGGTGTGAGAGAGGAAGGATTTAACGGGGCTCAGTGTGAGTTCGGGGGCCATGCATAGCTGCAAAAGTCCGTGCCTCGTTCTCACAGATTTTACAGAATTTTAGAATACAGCCAAGAAAACCCGTCATGGTATTCAACCCTCAGCCTTAGCCTCCTGCAGGCAAAAGCTACGGGAAGCGTCCCGGGAGAGCTGCAGACCCACTGGCCATCCCCGCCTTCCTGAGAGGATCCGCGGCTTCTTCCAGGAACGCGGCGCCTGC